CAATTTTAATAATTCGCTGGTCTCCAACAAGGCAGTTTCTTGAGGCGAGATCACGATGAACGAAAGACATAGAAGCTAAGTATTCCATACCATAAGCAATCTATAAGAAAAATTTATGAGATCAATTAAAGAAGGAGGGATTCATAAAGCATAAGCATACATTTAACTAAAGAATATCTAAAGTAATTTTATAATTATAGTAGCATCACTCAAATCTATGAGGAGATAAGTCCTAAAAAGCATGTTAATAGCGAATACGTGTTGAATTACCGAGTTATTTATTGATTTATTGAACTATTTTTGGATTTTTTAGATTACTTGTAGATTTTGCAGATTGCTTAAATTTACCTGAGTTGCTATACTCATAAAGTCCGCAGTATCATCAGCTGGATTATGATCTGGATGTGAAGGAGCACGAATTCGTAAGAACTCATGCAAATCGCCATTAACCATATATTCAAAAACTGCTGACAGCCGGCCACTCAGATAGGAGACACCTAAAAAATCATTAAATGCAAATTATAGAGTATAGATAGGTAAGTGGAAATCAGATATTGCAGTTAAAAAAAGCAGATTATAGAACATACAAATAATAGCCAAAATTAATTGAGACTAAATTTATAAGATGTACTGTAAGTTCAACGAAAAAAAAACTTTGTATGTTTGGAACATCTTTTACGTTTCTGCCAAGAACTATTACCACTCTGTTGCAACCATCAGTCACTCAAAAGACAAAAGTTCCCCGCTCAAACTCACCCAGCAATCTGACCACATGTGGATGATCGAAAGACGCTACTGTCCTAACTTCTTCTTCAAGGCTGGCTCGGTCAGCATTAGTGGCATCAGGTCTAACGGATTTTATGGCTACCTAAATTTTGATACTTCAAACTCAGTTGAGAGTTTAGATTCAAAGGCGTACCTGTAAAGGGTCACCGCTGATTAAACCTCCAGTCCAAAACCCCTTGTACACAACACCAAACTGGCCTTCGCCAAGAAGATCGCCAAGTTTAATCTGAAAAAAAA